GGCATATAACAATAACAACAACATGCAATCTTTCATTTCAATAAATATACAGAGATGCACTAAGGCCAAACGTTTATCATTGTGTTGGCCAACAATGATACTTACTACAGAAACATAAACCCATTAACCTTAATATGTGACAAGTGCTATACCAGGCACACGAACAAGCTATTCTGAAAGTACACAGGTGTGGATATTTCCACCCGGATAATTCAGAGATGACAGGCCAGCAGAGCTTTGAAGAATGAGGACTAGTGTATGAGAAGATGCATCTGAGGCAGAGCAAAGGCAAAACGAACTGTGACAGTGTTTACAAAGTAGGGGAAATGCTAATTCTATCCATGGACATTAAAGTAAAAATAAATAAATACAGGGTCAGAAGACTTGATTTCAAATCCAGGCTCTGACTGTGGTAACTGAACAATTCCTGAGTCTCAGTGTCCTATCTATGAAATGCAGACACTACTACTGTCCTGCCTACATCACAGGATTTTTATGAGGGCCCAATTATATGAAGAAAGTATTTGAAAAACTGCAAATTTCTGTATAAACACAAGTTACTTATTTATGTTTTCACTTCTAGGCAACCCCTATGGGTCTTCCCCCTAAACTGTGTCTCAGTGAAAACTTCACCCTTCAGGATGAAAATATTCCAATGACATCATTCATATGCTCCTCAGAAGATAGTAAATAGTTAACATGAATGTTAAACTTCAGGTTAAAATCTCAAACATCTTCTTATGAAAATATATATAAATTGTGTGTGTGTGTTTCATTTCTTAGGCATCAGCATTGACTTCCAGTCAAAGCTTACTGTACTTATATTTAGAAACTAGGAGTAGATGCAGGTTTCCTTCTGGAAATTTTCTATCAGAAATTCCATTCCATTTCATAGTATGTTGTCAAGCAACCAACTCATGATTAGTCTGCCAGTAAGCAATCAGTTTGGTCTCATCCAAAAAGAGAGCAGGGCCATATCACCTATACCCACCCACTGCCATCAAATCGATTCCAACTCACAGAGATCCTGTAAGGACATAGTAGAACTGCCCCCCGCCTCCAGTTTCCAAATCTTTACGGAAACAGACTGCTTCATAGGTCTCCCGCAGATCGGCTGATGGGATTGAACTTCCGACCTTTTAGTTAGCAGGCGAGTGCTTTAACCACTGTGCCACCAGAGCTCGCTGTAACAGCTACAGACAGAACCAAATATATGGCCTGGGCCCTAAAAAAAGGGAACTATTTTGGTATAGGCATGCATATCAATGCCAACAGTTAGTAAACGAACATTATAAAAGCCACTGAAAAGCATAATGACTTTCAGATGTTAAACTGAGGGCCACAACCCAGATCCCTCTTTTAAACTGAAGAACACCTTCATTTCCTTTAAAGTTTGACAGCGTAGACTAACTCTGCCTCTCTCCAACAACCTCTCTTGAAAGTACACCCAGACCCCATTTTGTTGGATAAGAGCCTAAATACAGTTCCCATGCACGTTTACAAAGTCCAAAGACGGGGCAACAAACAGGAAAGGGACGAGGGGAGCGAGAAGCCCCTGTGCCACTGCGGGCCAGCGGCTGTTTCATCTACGAACTGCCACTTCCCGTCCTCTTCCTCTTACCTTGTACACTTTCCCAAAGGCTCCGTCGCCCAGTTCACCTATAATTTCCCAAAACTCCTCGGGGTTCAGGTCCCTCTTCACGTGCTCGTACTGCTTTTTCTTCTTCTCGCTGCCCAACTTGAAGATCTTACGGAAATTGAAGAAGGACATTTTTCCTCCCGACAGAGTTCCTTGCACTTAAGGACTAAACACAACAATAAAAGGCAAACTTTCTCCTCCCCTGTGTCTCGAGCAAGCCTGGCGGGCGCGGGGTCTCTGGCTCCCGCCGCTCGGGTCGGGCCGTCCCCGGGGAAGGCGGGGCGGC